ATAAAATAACTCCTTGCTGGCTCCGTAAGTATATGAATCAGGAAGGACAATGTGGGACACTAGCCAGAAAGTTCCAAAACATCAGCCTGTGCTGTTAGCTGATTTCAGTCAAAACAGCAGTATGGCGTTGCTAAAATTGGCCTCAGTTTCTCTGGAACAGGGAGGAACATCAATCAAGGATTCAGCTTCAGATTATTGCTCAGAAATTCTGATAAATGCCAAAATAGACGAAGGTTGAAAGCCAATGCTGCCCAATTGTCAAAATGCTATTGACCACATTCCACGAATCCTTGGTAACCTTATCAAGTTTACAATTATGTTCCTATCAATTTGCACATACCTTGACTTACTGAGACAAGTAGACGCTTATTAAATGTGACCCACTGAAAACAGCCATTCTGGAAATTCAAATGGGTACAAGGAAATGCAAGAAACATAGGTGCAAGCAATACAGAATGGAGGTTTGAACAGCCAGGGATCAAACCTTGGGCTCCAAGGGACCCTAGAGCTGTAGCTTGGACAACACCCTCCAACCTGCATGGGTACTCAGTTCCTGTTCTGACTACAGAAACTTACCCTGAACTATGCATTTAATTTGCAGCCAGAGGCACAAAATTTCTTGCAGAGAAAAGTGCAGTCCAGTAATCAGCTGTTATTCTCAAATTCAACTGAGGTATGGTCTGTATACAAAAGAAAATCTACACTGAACAACCTTGGAGCAAAAGCAATCCTCTGAAGTTACAACCAAGAGTAGCTACAAATTGAATAAAACAATGGGATTAAGTGATGGCAGTAAGACTACAATTTGACTGCACACAAAGTGAATGCATAGTCACCATTCTTGCTTTCAAACACCACAATAAAAGCAAATGTTGCTTTTTGATGCAAGTCATTTATTTCTGCATTAGCTGGATACACTTGTGTCAAAGTAACAAGCAATCAGGATTTGATTCTGAAAATCTGTTTACTGTAATGTCTAAATTTTTAGCTGACATTCATTGATAACTTGAGAAATTATGCTGTTAGCAGTTAATTACATGTCAAACTTCCTAAGCTTACAGAGAAAATACTTTCTTCACAGTGCTTGCAATACCAATTAAAAACAAAACGAAGAGCGAAAAGCACAATTTTCAAACAACGTGAGCAACTGAACGAATGAAGGAGTCAATTTCTGTTTGGCTTACATCGTGCATACATACTAGAATGTTGTCAACAACACATAGGACAATTTCCTTAAAGCAAAACTATCTACTTAAGGATTTTTTTTTTTTTTCCTTATTTTAATATCCTCACAAATTTACTCCCTTTGCTACTTCCACCTTCCCATCATTTTCCAAACCTTGTTTAAATTTACCTGGAGAATCCTTTTCCACAAAGGCTGCAGATATATGGTTTGTTGATGCCCCCTTCATGTGAGCGCACATGATAACTCATGCGGTCCTTCCTCTTGAAGCGCTGTTGGCAAACGGGACACTCAAATGGCTTCTCATCCGAGTGGGAAAGTTTGTGCCGGTTGAGGTGGTAAACATCACGAAATGCTTTTCCACACAGTTCGCAGCCGTGATTCTTCTTCACTCGTCTATTGGCGTTCTTGCTGGCCGTGACAGCCGTAGTGGTGCTGCTGGTGACGGTGGAGGTGGAAGCATCAGTTGAAGTCAGCATCCCTGCGACAGTTGACACCAATGTTGTAGTGGCACCAACGCCAGGCGTCGATGACATCAGCGACACCATGGTTGGCACTTTCTTGGGCCGTGACACCAATTTGATTCCAGTGTGGCATGATTCGTGTCGCCGGAGGTGATAACTGTCTCTGAAAGCCTTACTGCAGTAACTGCAAATCACGGGTGTTCTGGTCTTCTCCTTCTTCTCTACTGTAGGTTTGGGTATTTCTTTGGGGTTTGGGGTTTTCTGAGCCTGAGGCAGAGTTGTTATAGGTGCTTGCTCACGTGGCTCAGTTGCTGAATGCAATATCGGCAGAAGGGTATTCTGCACATGCTGCTGGTGCTGCTGCTGCTGAGAGATATCAGCTGCCTATAAAACAGTGAAAATTAGCCAAATGTCATAATAAATCTTTACTATACGTGAGAACTCAATTACTTCCTATGCTGAGAGATCAATAATCTATGGTCAAACTCTCTTATGTTGGTCCGACAATTGCAAAGGCTTCAAATTTTCGCCACTTTAATTCCTCACCAGTATTTTCAGAAGATTTTATGAAGGAAAGTAGCTGTTTCCATCGATTTGAGACACCAAAACGTGTAATTATTGATAAAAGCTCAGTGGAACACCATCAGTTTTGACATACACTGATATAAGTTTATTCATTTCCTAATGTAATGTCTTGTCTCTTCAGGCTGTACTAAACACAGCCTATCAAAGAAGTTCTTTTGGAGTATCATCACTACTTTGGAGAGAACCAATTTGCCCACAGCAAGTTTGCAAACAAGGAAATAAGCTAAAACAAGTTCATCTGCAGGTGGTTGAGGAATGAATGTTGGCCAGGATACTGAATTTCATTCTCAAAATCTTTTCTATCTATTGAAATCAACAGACGGGTTCACAGTTTCATGTTTCAATTATTTGTATTTTATGGCCTGGGAGTTATAGTACAAAACTATATTTCCTAACTTCAGTAGTTTAAAAATGGAATAGAACCTTCCATAAGGCCACAGGTAATTAGAACAGGAGTAGACCATTCATCCCCTTGACCTGCCCCACTATTCAATAGATCATGGCTGATCTGGCATTCCTCACATCACTCTCCTGACCTTTTTCCTTAACCCTCGATTCCCTGACTGATCAAGAATCTGTCTCAGCCTTAAATATACACAAGGACTCTGCCCCGACAGCTCTTTGTGGCAAAGCATTCTAAAGGCATTCAGCCCTTCAAGGAAATTCCTTCCCACCTCAATCTTAAACTGGTACCCCTAATTTGGAGTCTATGCCCTATTCAGAGTACAGATTGATCTTAGTTGACATTTATGTATCCATCAGACCCCACCAAACACCCCAGCTGAGGTACATGGGCATTTTCATCTTGAAGGATGAACAAGTTTAAAAATAGCTTTTTCTAATTGACTGTCAGAGTAGGAGGCTCTGTTACAGAGCATATTCACCATTTCTGATAATTGGTTTTAGACTGTGAATTATCAATAGAATATTCCAAGTATGGGTATTTGGAGGTTGCAACAGAGCTGTGGCAGAGTTTAAAATAATCATTTGGTGGCACAATATACAATAGAATGCTCGAACAGTGAAAGTGAGAGTTTGTCCTCAACAACTGTGCGGTGGTCACTTTTACTATATTAATGTGGAGATGTGAGTCTTTAATGGTGAAGCATAAAGCAACTTGCTACTTCATGTTGGTTCCTTTAGGACTGGCCCTGGATCAAACTGGTAGCAATGTCCTTCACAACCCTGCTAACGGTCATGTTGCAAAGCCATTTCATGTGGTAAACACTGAAGTCTCCCGCTACAGTACAGTTTCTACTCTTGCTTTGCTCAAAGATTCTAGAAAATAATTTTCATCATGGAAGAGGACAGATTGATTAGTTGAAAGTGGACTGGAGGAGAATACATCAGGAGACTTCCTTAATTTTAACAGAACTAAAGCCATTGAACTTCACAGCATCAAAACTGATGTCGATGAGTGCCTGGGTCACTCCCATCACAATGTACCATTGCAGATCTGTATGCTGAATTTTTTTGGAGGCCAGAAAATTGTTATTTGTAGTTTACGACAAGACGTGTATGTTTGGGAGGTGATAACCGTATACTAGTGTAAAGGCCGCCCATAACGTAACAAAAATAGGTGTTGGTTGTTCTTATAGAAGCATATGCCATGGCCAAGTATTGCATGACCAGCATCACATAGCACTGTAGGCAGAAAGGCAAAGGATGATAAAAGTAGACTGCAGGGAACAGAGGGACTTGCACCATTAAAAATTGTGTCAATGTGTTTACTTCCCAAATGCGACGACTATTTTCTGCTGTGGGATCCAACATTAACCTTTTCAGCAGTTGAAGTGACTTGCAATCATTGAACTTTGTCAAAGTACAATCAGAATGAATGTGGGTTTTTGTACATTAGCTACAACCAAAGTCATTTCAAAATATAAGCACTCAAATAACATTCCTTTATTAATATTGAAATGGGCAGTGTTGCAGGTGTTTTTAAACAATTGTTCGTGATATGTGAGGGAGGCTGACAAGGTGAACATTTATTAGCAATCCTTAATTGCCCTTCCATACAAGTTCTGCTCCTGAAGTGTAACAGACTCTTGCAACAACAAGCTCTCTTTTTACAGAAAATAAGAATGTTACTCAATGTGATTGACACTTTTATCAGTAGGTACTTGTTATGTCTCTGTTATGGTGCTACAATGTTTTCAGTACAATTGGGTTAGAGGAGATTTGTCAGGGACCAGGAACATAACTCATTATTATGATACAAGGTACAAATGGTATTCAAGAACAGAATAAGATTGAAGGATTTGTCATGACAAATTCTGAGGGATTATTTCCCCTTGTGGGAGAAATCTAGAACTAGGGGGCACAGTTTACAAATGAGGCATCTCCAATTTGCAAAAGTGAAGGAGGAGGAATTTCTTCATTCAGAGGCATGTGTGTTTGGAATTCTCTTTCCCCAGGTCATTTTATATATTCAAGCTTGTGTTTAGACATATTTCTGACTTACAAGGGTTAGGGAGGGAGCTGTGGCAGGAATATAGAGTGAAGATCACAAATCAGATCAACCATGACCTTAAATCAACAGCAGAGCAAACTCAAGGAATTTTATGGTCTATTCCTTCACCTTTTTCTTATGATTTCACACACTAGTGTTGTATGGGGCCTTGTAAAACTGCTTGGCTCACATTCATTATCTAGGCTGATAGGAGGGGTAAAAGTATTCAAACAAGGTACAGCTCGTTGCCAGCACTTGAGGAAACATACCCAGGAAACTTATCATCTTGAAGGAGTGCTAGGAGGCAGACCATAGAATCACAGACTAAGAAATTGGAACAGGAGTAGGCTGTTCAATAGGAACATGGCTGATCCGACATTCTATGTCCACTTTCCTATGCTTTACACACAACCCTTGGGTCCCTGAGATAGTAGGAACTGCAGATGCTAGAGAATCTGAGATAACAAGGTGTAGAGCTGGATGAACACAGCAGGCCAAGCAGCATCAGAGGAGCAGGAAGGCTGACGTTTCAGGCCTAGACCCTTCTTCAGAAATTTCTGAAGGGTCAGGCCTGAAACGTCAGCTTTCCTGCTCGGCCTGCTGTGTTCATCCAGCTCGACACCTTGTTACCCTTGGGTCCCTGACTGATTAAGAAGTTATTTCAACTTCAAATATACACAAAGACTCTGCCTCCACAGCTCTCTGTGGCAAGGAGTTCCAAGACTCTCAACCCTCAAATCAGCATCCCTTTATTCTGAGAAAATGCCCTCTGGTCCTAGACTTTCCCTAGAGTGGAAATATCATCTCAGCATTTACCCTGTCAAGTCCCTTAAGAAGCCTACATGTTATTATATATCCTATATGAGATCACCTGTCTTCAGAACTCCAGTGATTACAGTCCCAACCTGTTTAGCCTTTGCTCACAAGACAACCCCTCCATACCAGGCATCATGCCAATGAACCTTCTCTGAACTACCTCCACTAAAATGATATTTTTCCTTAAATAAGGAGACCACTGCAAGAAAAAAAACTGCTTATGGTACTCCAGATGTGGTCTCACCAGCACCTTGTATAGTTGGCAATAAGACTTTCCAATGCTTGTATTCCAACCTCCTTTAAATAAGACCAACATTCCATTTGCCTTCTCATTACTTGCTGCACCTAGCTTTCTATATTTCATGTAGAAGTACCCCACCATCCTTTGTGTTGCAGCTTTCCAGTTTTTTCCCCCCTCCATTTAAATAATATTGTTTTTTTTGTTCTCCCTTCTAAAATGAAGAACTTCACATTTTCCCACATTATACTCCATTTGTTAACATTTTGCCCACTTAACCTACCAATATCTCTAAACTGTCAGTATCCCAACCTGCCTTTCCACCAATTTTAATGTCGTGCATAAATTAGGTTACAGTACATTCATTTCCTTCCTCCAAGTCATTAATATATGTTGTAAACCGTTGCAATCCCAGCACTGATTCCTGTGGAATCCCATTGTTCACAGGTCACCAACCTGAAAAAGAACCCTTTACCTCACTTGCCGTTTCCTGCCCATAAACCAATTCTCTGTCCATGCCAATATACTATGGCCAACACCGTTGGCTCTTGTCTTATGAATTAACTTTTGTGAGGTTCGTCAAATACGTTGTGGAAGTCCAAATACAACACATCTACTTGGTTTCCCTATATAGAGAAAAGACCTGTGGATGCTTAAAGTTTGATCATGAAAATGCCACATCTTTAACGTTCTGAAGAAGGGTCACTAGACCCAAACTCAGCTTTCTCTCCATAGATCTGCCAGATCTGGACTTGCTCCAGCAATTTTTGTTTTTGTTTAAAGCATCCTGTTTGGTCACAACATAAGGTGCTGCTGCCATCACTATTATGAAAAATAAAAGCTGTTTACTAGACATTAATCTGTGCAATTACAAGTGAGGAATGCAGTTTTCTGACTTGTGCCAAGATATTCTAAGCAATTTACAGTGCTATATTACAACACTGCCCAAGCCTGGGGCTCAGGGAAGCAACCTATTGACATCATTTGCCTGCATTTATGTCGTGACATGGTTTTAACCTGTGTGCAAGAGCTTTGAATGTGATAACCCACTATTTTACACAACAACAGCAGGAGGAGTAAAGAGAACATGAGAGTTTTTCCAACAATCTGCACACATGGAGAAATTGGCACTGCTGCAAGTTTCAGCAAGTCAGTGAACATGTGTCACAACGGAAGTGTATTAACAGGGCAAACAGCCAGTGCATATAAGGCCAACAATAAGAAGTTGGATTTCTGACAGAACGAGGATATCCATTTAAAGAAGTTTTTGTTTGCGTTGGAGACCAGTAGTTT